CAGATCTTCTGTACCAGACAGAGTGCGCCAGCAGGAGAGAAGCGGGAGGAGGTTTGTTGAGTGGTACATTGTATCAACAAAGCAAATGCTTTTTGCAGTTACCCTATTATCAACAAGGAGGCACGAGGTCCTACTAGTCAGTGTGCTGGAATTCGGATCGAGAGGTACAGCTTCGATCCCTGGCCGGGGTCCTTGTGTTGTGTTCTTGGGCAAGACAATTTCACGGTGCCTTTCTCCACCCAGGTGTGAAAATGGTCACTGGCAAATTTTATTCCAGGGGGTAACCCTGAGATAGACTAGCATACCATCCGGGGAAACATCCTTTTTTCCCTAGTCGCTTCACGCTACAAAAAAACCCGTTGAACTTAACATATAGCACAAAAGCTTACAAAGTATTGATAACTAAAATATCTTGCTGTATTTTTTAGGAGCGAACACTTTGCCACCAACAACTACTCAAATGCCAACAACATCAGGTACAATGATAAGAATCCAACGAGAAGCACACGTAATGTTTCCAAACACCACTCAATATTATCTATGATAGATCAGGGGCCGATCTAGGGGGAGGATGCAGGGGGTGCGCACCCCTCCCCACGTGATGGATTGTGGCTTTCTAATATAATTGGTATTCCGCATTAAAAACCCCTGTTGTTTACTGGTGTTGAGGTTAAACGATGGTGCACCACCCCTAAGAAAAATCCTTGATCCACTCCTGTAGCCATATAGATCGTTGGCTGGTAAGACAAAAGTAGGGAAAAGAAAAACAATTTACAATAACCGTCTAATTTCTCGCACGCTGATTGCTTCATTTTTTATCATCAATAAGAGTACAGACGGATACAGTTTTAATTTATGCAAGCTTTCAAGTTCAATTTTCAGCTGTCAAACTGTCAACTTTTTGACCAATGAGATTTTATGGTCTTTTTTAAGTAGCCAATCAAAAAGCGAGAAAAGCTAATTGACGATGTTCGCGTCATTTTGAATAAAATTCACTTATCTTTGTTTACGGCAAGTTTACGGCGTCTTTCCCATCATTTATTCCCGGCATTTGACCATTTTGGGCTCTTGTTATCGTAAAAATGGATAAGTCCCATTGATACACAGCAAGCAGATCTTCTGCGGAACCACTCACCTGCGGCTCGTGGTTCCACAGCCACTTTGACAATGTTATGACACAATTTATCATCAATGAGAGGACAGACGCATAAAAAACTGACGTCAATTTGTAAAATACTGGGCGTCTGGGTGTGATCTTTGGTATTGCGGTAACGCCGACCCTGGCAAGTTCATTGATAACTTTGCTGCTTATTTTGTTTGAGTTTTTGACGGCCTTGTGTACTTTACCTCAAACACTGAAATCGTACCTCTGCTTTCGTCAATGCATTAATCGGCAAATCAAAGATGAGAAATTCGTTACTCGCTATCTTTCGGGAGCTCGAGGTCATAGTAAAGACATAAATTATAGTGAGAGTTTGGTTAATATCGTGAAATAAACTTTAGATGAACACTAAGACAAAGAATTGCACTTGCTTGATATCCCGTACCGGTATTTGCCCTTTTTAACAAAAACGACAATGCCTGAGCATTGGCCCGGAGGGCAGGGGAGGAGGCTGTGGTCTTTGCTGGAATGACATGTACAGACCGCTACGGACTGCAGGATCACTAAAACTAAATGACTTTTCAATTGTAGGAACTACTACTTTGCCACCAACAACAACCCGGTTACCACCAACGACAGGTACTTCAATGAAATATATTGGAGCAATTGCAAACATTTAGCAAAGATGCGGCGTGGCAAATCGTACTGACTTTCGGGGAAAAAACCTGTTAATCACATTCATGAAATCTGGGCCATTAAATTAAGCACTATTATATATTTATTTATGTATTCATGCCTCTTACTAACCGAGTTTGAGGCCAGGTTCGCACTGTAAGATACGGACCGAGTGGATTTATGGTCCAAGAGCGAACCGTGCTGGCCATAAATTGAACAGGAAAAAACCGGGGACTCCGTAACTTGCAGTACGGACCGAGAAGATGAGGCTAGTAAGATATTTATTATATCTCTAGTGTGTGTCTGATGGTTTGGGAACGGCTTCAAACTTTTGACGCACACGTCGAAAGCAAAACAAGTCGTAAGCACGTTTTAATACACAATTTAAAGTAAAGGAAAGCTTTAACTTTTACTTACTATTAAAGTTAAGAAGACTTGGCGATAAATCACGAAATATTCGGCAACAAAAACAGCTTTAAAATTAGCGGGCCGTACAGTAGAATACGGCGCGCTATATTGATCACAGCGCGCGAAGTAACTAAGAGAAATAGTAAATTCATTTATTTTTAGCGAAAATCAAGTAAAAAACAATATTATTACTGGGGTAAGAGTATCAGTTGTCCTATAAATATGCAACGCCGCTTTGTTTGTGTAATGAACGAGACTAATCCATACAAAAAATCGAGTTTATTACATGCCAGCGTTTACATTAGCCTCTCTTTGTATATCATTCAGTAACGAGATTGTCTGATCCTCTTGCGTAACGTACTGCAGAGCCTGTTAATTTAGGTGAATATCCATGAAGGGAGAGGAGTTTTCAACTTAGCTTTGTTTTCGCTTTTTAGGGAGTTGTCAAGACAGAGACAACAGATGTAAATATTGGCCTCGTTTCTTCTGCCTATTCTACAGATACGTCAGAGAAAACTGCAAGAAGAAATGTCGGCGCTGCTGAGCGGGATATGAAACCAGCAGCGAAATTGTTGTCTAACGAGTTTAGATAAAAGCAACTATTTTTGCCCTGTTTATTTAACTTTCCGAGTTTGTTTTTTTTAGTTTGTTGCTGGTTTATTTTTGTCGTCTGTTGTCTAATTTTGGTACGCTGTTTAAACTCGCTCAAAGAAATTTGCGATGCTTGTGCAGTACAAGTTTCTGATACAGGACCCCAGCCAGCCAGGAATGGCTTCGGATTGCCTTACAACATTTGAGGAGAGGCTTTAAGTTTCCCAACTTTGAAGGCTAAAACTTGGCTACAACAAGCCACCATAACCAATTCCAGGCCTAATTGCACATCATATTCTATTTTAGACCAAATGGTAGAGAAGTATACCATATTTTGGACCAAACGGCTTAGTGGGGTGGGGAAGATAAGTTTACACGTTCACTGATACTTTATATCGCAAAATTACCTGTAACGAAGCTAAAAAAAAAAAACAGTTTATTTTTCCAAAATGGAAAGAAAAAATAACTTCACAAAAAGTAGTCAAATCAAGCTAAAACTCCGAAGAGAAATCCTTGCAAAGTACGTTTGTAGTGCAGACAAGCAATGGTCAACCTATGGCATTGTGTTAAGTTTTCACTTTATTTGATTCTACAAGTCTTAATCTGCTCAGTTTTAGTTTTATGTTGTCCCTACACTCTTTCTCGTTAACCACAATAAAAATGATCACGTTCCTAACTCAGGTCGGATTTTCTAAAGTGAGGAAAGGTAGCTGAAACTTTAAACTTATTTCAATGTTGGCGTCTGCGAATGTTTTCCCCAAACTTATTGTGATGCAAAGATTGTAGAACACATAGTCATGCATGCGTTGGACAAATCATCGTTATCTGAGAACTTTAGCTGTTAGTTCGTCTTCGATGCTCCGAGGAAGCCTGAACAAATTTGAATGTGGCATCTACGAGCTGAGCCCGTCACTCAATTTACATAGTGGTTTAATTAATCCGCGCGGAAGGTTTAATTCAATGAGTTTTCCCCACACAGGAATTGACAACTCAATTGACCACATTTCTTAATAATACGGTTAGCTCTTACACTGATGAATGTCGAGTGGGTCTAATTTTTGTGTTCTTATTAAAATTCAGTTTCCAAATAAACTTTGAAGATCTTTAACGCTCCCTTTACAAACACCAAGTTTCGACCGAGAAAAAACAGCTGAATTGCATATTATAATACTACCGTGTAGCATGAAATTTTCGTGGGATCTATTTTTCGCGAATTTCACGGATTTTTCATCGATTCGAGAAAATTAAATCCCGTGAAAACAAACTCTCGCCGAAAGAGTCCGCGGAAATTTACTCCTTTAATTTCATTGCTGTATTTCAATGAAATTGGTTGAAACTGTAACGAAAACGACCATAATTATGGCTTCCATTATTGTTACTTTCAAGTACCGTACATGAAATCCGCGAAAAAATTATTCTTAGGAGTAAAGTCCCAAATCCAAATTCGCAAAATTCGTTTTTCTCCAAATTCGAAAATCTAAAACCAGCGGAATCAAACTCCTGCGAAAATTTCATGCCACACGATATTATGCTTGACTGCTTTCTCCTGATCTTACAGAGACAATACCTCATTCCAGAAATCAGACTTTTATTTCACTTTAAATTGTCTAATTGCAGTTGCCATAATATTGACATCGTGCAACTCTTTTCTTTTTGATCTGAAATGTTTATTGGGATCTTAAGGCCAGATGCAGATATTTCTGATATTTCTCAAACAAATGACACAAGAAAAACGTAAATCTCATTTAAGCGAGAATTTAAACTGAAAAGGTACAAACTGATTAACAGTTACTTATGTAAATATAGTTCATGGTAATTTCACTTGAACAAAAGTTTGACAAAGAAACGAAGATAAAACAGCTAGGGTTCAATTTACTAAATATTTAACGAACAAAGACTTTCCAGAAGTTGCCAGGGGACACCCCTACGCTTACGTCATCGCATTCCCATCTTGTGTCTCCAGGAGTAATCAAAAAGTGATAAGAATGGACCACAAAAGCGGGGTGGTTGTATAACCTATCTTGATCCCTCTTGTGGCCCCATTTGCCAACGTTATAGGATCCATCCCAACCCCACCTACTGCACACACCAGCTAATAACGAGTTGTCATCATCCATTTTCACGTACGAACCACAGGAAGCTGGCATGGTATCGGTCTGTCCGCTGAAATACTGGACTACAGCTTCACCAGCGCTGTTGTTTGCAGTGGTCACGTGGAAAGTGCGTTGCTTCCTGCAGAAGAATCTCATTTGAGTGAAAGACAAATGTGTTCTCAGCTGATTCATGGCAGTCTTCGTGAGGAACTTCTGAGAGTTGCTTACTCCTCGGTATGACGTCTCAACTGGGAAATTAAAACGTCTAGA